AAAAAAAACACAATATTTTTATAATAAATAAATATTTTATTGAATTATATATCGACCATTTTGGTCAAATACCTGTTGTCATCATTTCTGGTAGTAGCATGATTTCACATTCATAGAAGTTTTGATTGTTGCTTACAAAAAACTGATCCAAGTGATTTTTGACATTGTCATTTCAAGTAAATGTCTTACAGTTAAAAAAATTTGTGTAGACCGGAACAAGTAATAATCTGAGTGTGCTCCATCTGGCGAATATAGTTGGTGTGAAAACCTATCCCATCTAAGTTATAACAGTTTCTGACAAGTTAAAAAACTTGTGTGAAATTGGACATTATCGTGGTAAAACACTACACCTGTTTTGTTGATCAATTCTGGCCGCCTTTTCTGTTTGATGATATTACTCAATTTGTTTACTCGATGGCAGTACACTTTCGAATCAATTGTTAAATTGTCTGGTAAAGGCTCCAAAAAAAAATTTCCTTAAAATCCCACCAAAGAGAGCATCTCTCTTTAAGAACATGTGGAACCCATATATCAAGCTTTGAAACGAAATCAGTTTGTTTCAAGTAATCATAAACAGTTCAATTTGACAAATTTAATCTCTTAGTGATTTCACGTGTTGTTATTTGGCAGTTTGCTTCAATCAGTACCTTTATTTTGTTTTCATTGGTTTCAACTGGCCATCCAGAATGTGGTGCATCTTCAATATTGAAATTGCCAGAACGAAATTTTGTAAACCAGTTTTGGCATTGTCGTTCTGTCAATACATCTTCTCCATACACGTCACACAATTTTTTCTCGCTTGAACAGCATTCTTCCCTTTTCGGTAATAAATGAGCAAAATATGCCGAAAATGCTGCTTTCGATCTTCCATATTTGATGGGACACAAAAAATAAACAATTGCACAAAATCAAACAAAATTTTTTACAAATATGCCTTAAAATGCTAGCTGTCAAAATATATAATGATAATACGGTTTAGAATGAAAATGGCAGGAAAAATACAACTAATCCGTCTAGCAGTAAAAAAAATTGAAATTACTTTCTGAACAACCCAATAAATAGATTTATTAACTAAATAAATATATAGTGTCAAAAATTCAACAAGTAATCCATTCCATTTCATAAAATTACTATCTAAAATTACACAAACCTTATAGCAGGTCGAAAAATTTGCCACACAAAGCGGATAAACTTTGTTGGGTGGACTAGATATAATGCTTTAAGATTTTTCTTATATCTGTAAATAAAAAAATATATATATTAATAAAAATTATGTGACAAATACACATTGCAAAAATCATCTGATATATCTAAGCCAGTCATAAGCATTTCCCACTCCCCACAACTTTGGCAATGCAATTTTATTTTCTTGTTTTTTGTCTCATGCCATCATGCAATCCTAATTAAGCTGATATTCATGACAAAAAACATTCAAACTAATCATTTGTATAGTAAAAATATGAGAATAAACTATATATTATTAGTTTGCATATCTTCAGAATATATTATTTTAGTCTACTGGCAATTTTAGAGTATGTCTCAGGAGGCTTAAAGACTGGTACTCCATAAAACAGTGTATGCAGCTTGCTGGAAGCCTACACTTTTTCCTTGCAGACCTCATCCAGAAAAGATTGATTTTTCATCATTGAATTAAGCAATTCACATTAAAGAACATATATATTCTATATCAAGTCCATATTTTGGCATTGGTTGATAGAATAGACAAAAGATGGTGGCATATTTTCCATTAGAGCATTTGGATTTCTTGGACACTCCATAGACCAGTGACCTTGATGATCTCTACAATATTGTCCTTTACCTAATTCCCATTACTAGTTTAAACCAAACCTTGCTATGAGAAACCTCAACTGTAATTTTTGATCCCATAAATTCTATATTATTTAGCAATTCAATTGCACTTTTAGCCTCCCCTTCACTACAGATATGAGCAAATTTGTAGTTTTTGATGACCTCACATTCTTCAACTTTTCTGTACTTTTCATATAGAATATCTTCCAGCCAAACTGGGTTCTAAATAACAACAAAAATAAAGAAAGAAAAAAAAACCATTTTCATCTGTGACATTTTTCTCTTGTCTGCTAGAAACAAACACTAAAATTAACTTCTTTGATTTAGATTGCTATTTCTTTTGTTTTTGCTGATAAATTCCTAGCTTTGAAATTGGTTAACGCAATGTCAACTTTTCAAGTTAGGGGAACATTTTTTTTTATCACAATTTTTAAAGTAATACATTTAGCAGTTTAAATTTATTTTAACAATAAAAAAATTCTCCAATACAGAAAGCTTATTTTCTACTGCATATTCTACCTAATGACACACCTCTTTTTAGAATATAACAGATACTTTGCAATTATGTTTATGAAATATTTTTTGACTACTTTTTTTTACTTCTTTTTCAAAACAATTTTATTAAATAGTTTATAACAATTTTTTTATTTTGTTTTCCCTTCTGAGTGTATTGGTTAATTTTTAAGAGTTTTATGTTGTTATATATTTTTCATATTGTAGATAATTGTATATGTTCAAAATGTCTAAAAATTAAAACAACAAAGAATTGTTACGCATTAAAAAATTTTAATAATAAAGTTTCACACAATTAAATTTTAATGTAAATTTATTATTATTAAAGTTTCAGATTAATATATTAAAACATATATTTAATATATTAATCTGAAAGAAAATGGCATTACCCCGCAGAAAACTGCTAGAACAAAAATAAAATCTTCATATAATTCACAACACTATATATGCTGTACCTACAGGGGCAGCTATGGCATCAATATGTGAGAATTTGTTGTTATAATTTAACAACAAATTACACTTTTGCTTTTAATTAATTCTACAGTGACAGGACTCACAAGCAGAGTATTTATAGAACTTTAACATCTATTAAATAAAATATTTTCCTATGCGATAAATAAAAAGCTTTTCTTTACAGTAAAAAACAAAATATAAAAATATTAAACTTTTTATAAACATTTAAATAAAGCAGGAAATCTTAAGAACAATACATCTACATAGTAGTCACTTGAAAACTTTTATCAGATATTAAAGTATAAGAAAAACATTCTGGTTTGAAGAAAAAAGTGAAACACAAAATATATCACAAACATGTAAAAAGTTCACAGTTTGCATATATAAAGCCAGTAAAGTAATTCACTGTTTTAAGGAAAAATCTGATGGCTTTTGGTACATATTTTTCTTATAATTTGTTTTTAAATAAATAAACTTTTCTAAAGAAATAATGGAGTTATATACTTTAACAGAAAACAAGTAATTATTATTAACCTATAAAATTATTTCTTAAACTACAAAAATTTTAATGAAAAAAAAAAAAAAGTTAATAAACAGCAACAAGTTGCTCAACTTTCCCAGCAACATTTAAAATTTTGCAAAGTGGCACCATCTGCTATGATATTTTATTTTAAAAACTTTTTACATTTTTAACTATTATAAAATGGCAAAATGCTTAATTTTGAGGATAGGGATGAGTTTTATAAAAAATTGCAAATAATGAGTAAAATTGCCATTAAGTCTGACCCTACCGAAGATACAAACAACCCCCATTATCTCCCATTTAAATTTGTTCACCAAATTTAATAACATCAATCCCCCTAATAAGCAAACCTCCCTGCAAAATTTCCGAAATTTTCAACAAAAAGCACAGGAGTTATTGAGCTTCAAACAGGGTGAACAAAATCATGCCTCCCCCCACACACAATCATCCATATACATACAGAAATTATCTCTGAATTTTTTGTATTTCAAGATGTCTTAAGTCCAAAAATGTAAAAATCTGGGATCATTTTTTGACTGATTGCCATACTTTCCCTCTGTTATATATAACAGCCAGAAAAGTAAAAATCAAACAAGTATTAAGTAAAAAAGGACTTCAAATATATTGAAAAGATTTTCATAGTATTGAGAACTGAATAAAGTAATAAATCATTATAAATTTAATTACTATTCATTATTTTTAAATTTCCTAATTAGCTATTTAAAAATCAATAAACATTGCAGTTTTTGGAATTTAATAATAACCTTTAAATGATAATTTTTAGACTTTAAAAGGTGTAAAACCTAAATTTTACAAGCCTAAAAATTATTTGTTTTAAGATATTTTTGTAAAGATATCTTGAAAATTACACTTGACATTATTGTAAAAATTATAAAACATAACAAATATCTAGTTTGTAAGAATAAATAAATTTATTAAATTCATAAAATAACAAATTTATTTATTATAAGCATATATCATCATCAACACAGCTGAACTTTTACAGATGTAATTTTATACTAACAACAGAAATTATAAATTATACCAATTACAAATTCATTATATTTATATAACTAATTAAAAAAAAAATTTTGCTATTCCGGTTTCTTGTTTGATTAATAACTTAAGCTTATTGACGTACCAGTATTGATATTTACTTTGTAGTTTCAGTTTTAGAAACTATTTTATAAATTTTATAAGAATTCAAAACCTTATCAAAGTAAAATAAAAATACTCCAATTCAAAGAATTTTAAGTTTGAATTTTGTAAAAGATTAGTTCTGCAAAAATATTAAAATAAATCAATTATTATTCATTTGAAAAAATTTTTCACTTACTTCCTATCAAATGCTTTATATGCTTCCCACAACCAGCTGAGAGGAAGTTTATTCTTACTGTTAAGACCATAATGGAAATATACCAGAGTGTAATCGTTCTCAACAAACTGATCTAATGTTGACATAAGATACCTTAAAATTCAAAAATTCAATTTAAAATAAAATTCACTTGATCAAACAAATTACAATTTAAATATATATAAAAAGTATATTACCTCAAAAATTTTGTATGATTAAGAACTTTATTTGAGGGCAATTTACAAGCTGATATAACAATTACTTTTCTTCCATACGAATCATCACCTAAAAATAAACAAATAATTTTAAGCTATTTTCTATCATCAAATTATATTATGATAAAAATTACACAAAAATACCTGTTACCATTTCAAAGTAATTTGCAATCATATAATAATAATATCTTCAGAAAATACAGTGGAACCTCGGTATATGACCTTAATCCGTTCCTGGTGTTTGGACTTATACCGAATAGGACGTATATCAAACCAACCTTTTCCATAAGAAGTAATGTAAAAATTATTAATCCGTTCTCATGTAAAAAAAATGGCTGGCTTTAAACACCTCACTTTCCTCGCTAGTTTCTGCTTGATTTTTCATGAGATCAGTATGTATCCTTTTAACTTTCTCGCAAATAATTTCTTCTGATACGCTGTCGCCGGCACACTGTTTTTCAGTTATCCAAAGCAAAAGCAATTTCTCGACATGATCTAATGTCTTCGATCTCTGTTTAGAAATTGATTTAACTCCTTTCGCAACGTTAGCAGATTTAATAATGTCTTTATTTTTCACAATTGTTGATATCTTCATTCTCAGAATACAGTAAGCAACAGTTAAATCTTGAACATGCATGCCACCTTCATATTTCTCAACAATCTCTTTTTTCAGTTCCATTGTGATTCTAGATATTTTTTGTTTTTAGTTTTCTGTTGCTTTTCATTTGCCTTTTTGCAATTCATGATTAATAAAAATAATAAAATTTTACTTACAAATTAAAATCAGAAGAAATTTAACAAAATTTTACCGTGGCACCGCAAACATCTAGTCTGGGTCTAGTACACAGATAGTGCTACTTGTTCATAGATGGCACGTATAATTGAATTAAGTCGTATACCGAGCAAAATTTGTTTCGTCCAAACAGGACGTATTCCGAATTGGACGTATTCTAAAGCAGACGTATACCGAGGTTCCACTGTATATTAAAAATGATTAATTAGTAAAATTTTTGAGTGAATAAAGTTTTAAAATTGTTAAAAGTAATTTAAATGTGTTTACAATATAACCATTAGAAACAGGAGGAATTTTTCCTCACTGAATTCAGAATCTGTTTCAGTTAGTTTTTTTTATTACAATTTAGTTATAACTAGAAACTGCAGTGGCAGATAACAAAACACTCACCAAAATCCTTAATTGTAGCAAAGCTTTAATTACTGAACAAGCAATTATTTATCATGACATCGTCACAATGAAGGACTGCAATTTTTAATCATATTTTTAATAAATTTAATTTAAAATATATGCTTGCCAGCTCAAATTAGTACTGTAGTGTCTTGTCCCTGTACACTATACTTTTCCTTTAACAACAGTGTTGTGCTGGTTATCTATTAACTGCTTTCAAGGGAAGTTTTGAATTGAAATAATGTGACTTCCAGTTTGCATCAAAAGTTCATTTATAGTTAATCAGGGCCTCCTGCCTCTAATGTTTCCATATCTGCTCTCAGATTTCATCTATCTAACTCTGTACTCAAAATTAAGGAAAGACAGACAAATGGATGACAGTGGGAATTTATAGGTCTACAATTTTTGAAAATTATAAACATTTTTGGCTATATTTTACCAACCTTCCTTGGGTAGAACATAAAATTGAATGCAAGTTAAGATGAAACAAAACAGTAATTTTAAAAAAAATATTCTAGAATATAAACATTTGAAATGTGGAAAGCTAACTTAATTATATTATATTCAACATATGTTAAAACAATTAAAACTCTATTTTTAATATTGTTAATAACAATCTTCAATATAGTAAATTATCCTTGAAATTCTAAATATAAATATTTAATTATTAACTTGAATAGTGCCCATCATTCAAAACTATTGTCAACTAAAATTTGTCACAAACTTCATATTCTTTCACGTTCTAATAAGTAAATTACTGCACTCATAAGAATCATCTGTGTCATTTCCCAAAGGGTTTTTTCTACACAAAATGACACCAAATCAGACAATCTGCATTCCCAAGTGTACAAATTCTATTCTTGAGAAAGGACTTCAGAAAAATCATTCACTGTTCTTCATTTTGAAGAATGCTAACAAAAAAACAATTTAAGATATTTTGTAGTAGTACAAGAAAGACTTTATACCTGAAAAATGCCTTGATCTGCAAAGAAAGTTCACATTTTCATCAAGAATATCAATTTGACAAGCAGTGTCAAAAATTTAAGTCCACAAAGTGCTGCCAAACATCAAGTATTGAAATTAAAAAAAGCACTCCTGTAAGGACCAATGAGCAGATTCAGTTTGCAAAAATTAAATGCAGATGCTTTCCCAAACAATGGAAACTGCAGTGACAGATACCAAAATACTCACCGAGATCATTAATTGCAGCAAAGCTTTAATTACTAAACGAGCAATTATTTATCATGATATCGTCACAATGAAGCGCTGCAATTTTTAATCATATTTACTCAATCTGAGATTATATCTATTCTAGTAATCATTTGATTATAATCAGAACATAAAATGTAATTCAAACGCAAGTTATATATTTGAGTGAAAATAATTTCACTCAGATATATAAATTTAATCTGGAATCAAAATTTATTTGCGTGATAAGTTTTGAAAATAGTAAAAACTTTTCCTTTCTAAATTGCCATTCTTTTAATGTTTGTGTAAATGTAGTAGACTCTAGTGTCTTCATATTCAATTATCATTTGTAGTGCAACTTATACTAACAAAAAATATGCATCTATTTAAAAAATGGTACAACTTGTTATAAAAGAAATCTCATTCTGATAAGTTTACACATTTGAAAAATTTAATTCACTTAGTTATTGTTTTACTTTATTACTTATAATTTTTCTGTATTTTATTTAAGTAAAAAATTATTTGTAGATTAATTTAATTTTAATCTATAACAAAAATGTACTTTGATAATAGCTCAAAACTTTGATGATAAATAACTGATTATTTAAATGGTTTTCTTTTGATAGTTAACTAACTTATTTTATCATTTAATAAAAAAAAAAAAACAGATTATGAAATTTTATATGCAAAATAAATAATATTGTTCACTGAAATTATGTAGATAATAATTATTTAAAATCATTTTTCTGTAAAAAATGCACATCTATTGCAAATTGTAATCATAATATTTAACACATTCACGGCATCAGTAGATAAACGTTTAGGCAGCTGCTGGGCGTTACGAATCACGGGTGACTTGTAGTCTATTTTAATACAGGGCGGCACGAGTCACCCATGCCTCGTATATTAATATATTTTATTGCACTTAATAAAATATCATCAATATATCAAGTATGATGTTTGTAGAATTATGTTATCAAAACATATGCACCGCCCCACAGAAAAACAAGCAATTATGTCTGTAGCCCTAACTAAACATGTCCATATGAGTCACATGTGCCTCGTAACGCAGCAAATGTGTTAATTTTTATTCAATTTTAATACTTATATTAAAAAGGTACATAACTGTGAGAATCTGTCCTAGTTACATCAGTTTTGAAAATTGTGATGGCCCTAGCAGTTAACCTGAGCAACGGATCTTATGTAATTTTGGAGTGCCTTTTTTAGAAGGTGACTTTTGTCTGTGTGCATTTGACATTGAAACACTGAAAAATTCTCTTCTACCACAAACTTAATTGAACTGATGAAGTTTTCAATTAATTACTCTTCTATGACAAAATGGAAATTTGTACAAGTATGACTGGTAATGAAATGTTTTGTTAAACTAAACACAATATCTGCAAACTATTGAATTTATTATTATTGCATTAAAGATAGAATTAACAGATATGTACTAAAATTTGCTGCACAGTTTTGTTGATTCTATCCAATGACAATGTTTACAATAGTGTATCAAGTTATGATCAAATAGTTATTAAAAAGCCTATATAATTACTCTGTAATACATACAGTTAAAGATTTCTATTATATACATCTTCAATACCTTTAAGCTAGAATCAAGTAATCTTACTTATAATATATAAAAAAAAATCCTTCTACACCATTTAATTACAGACCAACTCTATTATTGGTATTAATAAAGATTTTTACAGAAATAAAGATGATAAAAATTTATTTATGGAGAAAACAAAAATGTCATATTTTAACTTGTCAATTTGCTTTCTCAAGAAGCTGTGAAACTGAATGAACATTATTTTTTTAACTTTCCATATCCAATTTGGACTATAGGAGAACTTTTTGCTTTATTTTTAGGACAGGGAAAGCATTTAGTTAGGTTTCTATACAGCTTTTATATAAAAAAATTATTACTACCTCTTCTTGTTTTTCTTCTTCAGTAATATCTATTTTTTCAAATCTAAAAGTTCTTCTACTATTTATCATATCCATTTAAATGAAAGAAAAGTTTTTAATACCTTTTCTTTTATTATTTTTATATCGTCATTTCTTATTATATTAAAATTTAAAAACATTTTATATTTTTCTTTTACAGTCCTTTGGAATTCTTGTCTCTCGAATATATCAGCAGCGAAATCCTTTCTGTTTTTTAATTATATCTAAGACAGCATCCAAAAGGAAAACTAAATCAGGTATAAGCATACAATCATCATCCTTTAGTTCAGTAAATTTTTCTCTTCCTCTTCTAAACTTATATCTACCTTACATTTTCTTAACAAAATATATCTTGTTAAAGTATAACCAATTCCAGAATACACGTATCTATCTATTATACAATAAATTTAAATATTAATATTGTTGAGAATATCATCTTTTACTTTCTTTCTGTTTAATGAAAATAAGAAATGAATATATTTTATATTTTTTAATTGTTCATTTTTATCATATTTAAAAATTTTTTTTTTATTATTTCCTCGCCATTTTTTGTTTACATTCGGAAATTTATAATATTTACCTTTTATATTTATAGCATTTATACTTTTAACAAGGTTTATGACTGAGTTGTTTTTCCAGTTCTGTCTAATCCTTCGAAAACTATTATTAAACCCCGTTATTTTATTTCTATGACTGGGAATATAATGAATTAGCCTATATAAAACAATTTTATTTAAAAATGTTAATAA